CAATATTAGAAGCAGAGAAGGTCGAGTAGGTCTTCTCCAGGAGATCCTCTTCAGTCAAAGTTTCATTGCAAAACTTGAGAAGTGATCGGATTCGACAAACTTCAGAATTATATTCATTCACAGACTTAAAGTCTTGGAAGCGCAAGTGCTGCCAGTCGTGTCTTGCTTCAGGCAAGAATATGTCCTTTTGATGATCGAAACGATCAGCCAAAGCGACCCATAATGCACGTGGATCCTCCTCAGCAAGGTACTCAGTTTGTAGAGCGTCATGGATATGTCTTCGGATGAAGATCATAGCAGTGGCTTTTTCAGCCTCGCCAACAGGTTTATCTGTTGCTTCTTCAATAGCAGGACGCAAGTTCTTTGCAGTGAGGTGGAGCTTCACATCTTGAACCCACTTGAGGTAGTTCCTTCCAGAAACCTCCAAAGCGGTGAAGTCGAGTTTGTTCAAGTTCGACATGTTCCTATCACAAAATAGATGGACAAGATGTGGTTAGTGTAATGGAGAAAAATCAATCCATTCACATAGGAGTAGAGAACATACAGGTTCTAATAGACATGTATTGGTTGAATTTTGCATGAAAAACTTCGGGTTTTCATGGGTGATATGTTTAAGTGAAAACTTCGGGTTTTCTAACAAGGCATGTGTATAAGAAACTTCGGGTTTCAAAGTAATTATGAACTTCAGGTTCATATATTCCTGCAGGCAAACACAAATATATATGCAAACAAATATGCAAAGAATATATGCAGAAATATTGTATAATGATAAGTGAATTAATTTATTTTTGGTCTTCGGGGCCAAATTAAAGTGTGGGTGAAAATATAAAAACCCATATTATTTAAAAAAAAAATTAAATAATAAAATCTCGGGGCCTAAAAATATAGGCCGAGGACCCTTGGGTGGGGCTACAGGCCCACGGGGAGAGCAGGGGGTTGGGTTGCTGCGGGCAGACCCCCCAAAACAAATTTTTTTTTTTTTCACAAAAAGGCTGCATCAAGCAGGCCCAAAAGAAAACTAAAAAATCTTTTCTTTTTGTTTTTTTTTTCGCGCGGGCCGCATTAGGCTGGCCCAAGAACAAAAAAAATCTTTTTTTTTGCACGGGCCGAGAGGCTAAAGCCCACTAGGGCTCGGGTTGCAGGACCAAAACACCTCAGCCGTAGCTGGGTGTGTCCAGCGGGGAAGAAGGCCGGTCTTTGATTGACGGCGCCAGTGTTGGGGACAGTCCATGGTCTGTGCAAACCATGGGTCGTCGGAGAACCAAGTACTTATCGACGGAGATGAAATCTCGACGTCGGGGCAAAGAGAACCAAAAAAATTCAACTGAATTCAAATGAAAAACCCATGGAATTCTTCTGGAATTTCACGGAATCGGTATTGAAAACGATGGGTTGTGTCCAATTTGCATGACTGCCGGTCGTGTTGCGTCGGAAGAATCGACGGCAAGGACCTGGGCTTCAGGCCGTAGGTCGGGACAAGGTGCTTCAAACGCACCGTGTGGTTCCATGCTTGCGGGTGTGGGTTCTCGGTTTGGGTTGGGCCATCGCAGGCTGCGGGCCTGGTGGCTTGCGGCCTTGCATGGTGCACAGGCACGGGTTCGACTAGAACCCTAATTCCCAAATCGCAAAAAATATTTTTTCAATTATATTATATGCATGTATAATTTTAATGAATCACATATTTATGTTGATGCATATGCAAATAATAGTTTCAATGCATGTACATATGTAAGATTCAATTCATGACAAATATCAAATTCACATAATTGTAGCAATTTTGATTATGAAGCATACACAATTTACGTAGAATCTAAAATACGTAAAACGTAAAGTTGGGTCATGCATCATGGTGAATGTTCATACTATCAGGGCTTGCAAAATATCGAGTTAAAAGCCGTTGTTTGGAAAGAACCTGATTGCGTGATGATATGGATGAACTGGTTTGATGCAGAAAAAAAATTTCCAACGTCAGATTCCTAAGCGCAGCGGTAGGAGCGTGCTGATAACGTGTTGTGGTCTATTTTATCTGACAAAGGGACTAGGGCTGGCGGCAGAGAGAGAGAGGAGAGAGATGTGTGTTTGTAGAATTGTAGGGGAATGTGTGTGTTGTTATCCCTCCTACATTGTGCCTTTATTTATAGTAGTAAAGGGAGAGAAGATATTTCTTCTCCTCCAAGTAATACAAGTTGTAATAGGAAAGGATAACTAGAATCAAATCTTATCTAGGATTTACACAATCATACTTAAACTAGGAATGTTTACAACAAAAAGGAAACAAAAAAGAGATGGAAAAATGAAAATTAATAGAAGTGCAGTGGTGAGAATATTTTTTTTAAGTTATTGACTTTTTATCGCACATGATATATCCCACTATTTTTATAATGACACGTAATGTACTACTATGTGTACCGGTCAATTATACATACAAAATAAATAGATTTAAATCTACTTAATATATATATATACACACACACACACATACACCATTGAACTTGATGGGATACGAATTCTCCGAAACAAATTTCAACGATCACAACCGTCAAACTTGTTTGTAAATGCTTTGAGATCACATCACCAAAAAATCACAAAAAACAAACATTCAGAGATCAAGTAACGAGACAAATCTTTTTGACAATTATAAACGAAAAATCACGATTTAACGGTTATTTTAACTCCGATTTTGATGATTTTTTACAGCTACACTCCTTGACCCTATATGAATACAAAGAATAAATTCGATCTTCAATTTAAAATATTTACACAAGTGGATACCACAAAATCTTATGTTATACTTAATGAAAGTATAAATAAACTCTAAGTGTTAGTCAATCTATTGTTTTGATGGGATACAAATTCTCTGAAACTAATTTCAACGATCTCAACCGTCAAACTTGTTTGTATATGCTTCAAGATCACATCACCAAAAAATCACAAAAAACAAACATTTAGAGATCAAGTAACGGGACAAAACATTTCGACGGTTATCAACAAAAAATCACGATTTAACGGTTATTTTAACTCCGATTTTGATAATTTTTTACAGCTACACTCCTTGACCCTATATGAATACAATGAATGAATTCGATCTTCAATTTAAAATATTTACACAAGTGGATACCACAAAATCTTATGTTATACTTAATGAAAGTAGAAATAAACTCTAAGTGTTAGTCAATCTATTGTTTTGATGGGATACGAATTCTCCGAAACTAATTTCAACGATCCCAACCGTCAAACTTGTTTGTATATGCTTCGAGATCACATCAGCAAAAAATCACAAAAAACAAACATTTAGAGATCAAGTAACGGGACAAAACTTTCCGACAGTTATAAACGAAACATCATGATTTAACGGTTATTTTAACTCCGATTTTGATGATTTTTTACAGCTACACTCCTTGACCCTATATGAATACAAATAATGAATTCGATCTTCAATTTAAAATATTTACACAAGTAGATAACACAAAATCTTATGTTATACTTAATGAAAGTATAAATAAACTTTAAGTGTTAGTCAATCTATTGTTTTGATGGGATACGAATTATCCGAAACTAATTTCAACGATCCCAACCGTTAAACTTGTTTGTATATGCTTTGAGATCACATAAGCAAAAAATCACAAAAAACAAACATTCAGAGATCACGTAACGGGACAAAACTTTTCGACGGTTATAAACGAAAAATCACGATTTAACGGTTATTTTAACTCCGATTTTGATGATTTTTTACAGCTACAGTCCTTGACCATATATGAATACAAAGAATGAATTTGATCTTCAATTTAAAAGATTTACACTAGTGGATGTGAATATCACAAAATCTTATGTTATATACTTAATAAAAGTATGAATCAACTATAATAATTATATATATTAATTTAACAATTGTATACCCCTAAAAACTATAGTAATTATATAATATACTTATATATATTAAATTAAATTTAAAAAATTGATGACCATTTGGATCGGCTAAGATTTAATCTTTTGAGAAAGACTTACAACCTTGAAAACAAAAACTCTTTCATTTTGCATATCCTTGCACATTTAATATTTGTAATAGATTAGTAGTGTATGTATTATTTTTTTATTAGGCTCTTATTTTCGAGTGTAGTTATAGTACTTAAATGACAAATGTTTTAATGTTTTGAAGTAATATTTATGTGGCAATATGTGGTATGTGCAAATTAAAAAAAATATATATTTTTCTTAACGGGTCATAACGGGTCGGGTCACTTTACCCGTTGGTTAAAGTGACACGACCTGTTAAGGACCCGTTAAGATAACGGGTGTGACACGACACGACCCGTTAAGATAACATGTGTTACACGAAAACGACACGAACACGACAGACACGACCCGTTTGCCAGGCCTACTGAGGCTGTTCATGTTGCATGTTATAATGGGTCATATGGCATTTGGTTTAAACGGTTCTTTTCTAAGTTCTCCCCCCTACTATTCAAACTTACCTTACTAAGATAGGACAAACATGAGAGAAAATTAAGGATATCACCCAAAAAAAGGAAGTTGAACCAAATCATTCTTTATAATAGTTAGTTAATGCATTACCAGAAATAAGTCTAATGGCGATGGATACCGAATCGTCGACAATAATTTTATAGGGGACAATATTTCCTCATTCTGAAGTTAGAATAAAGTCCTTCTCCACTAACTTGACATCATTTCTATTGGAGAATAGAGTTCCACATCAAGCATTTGACAAAGTGCAATACGACTTATATATGAGATATATTTCTGCCTCTAAGTCAACGAGGCTTCTATGATAAAACTTCACACCTAGCAATAGGTGGTTAATTGAGGACGTTAATGGAGTGAACCAAGTTATACTAGAAGATAACTCGAGTTTCTTATCAAGCTTGGATCTTATAAGAAGCAAGCGAAGCTTAGCTTGCTAGCAAGCAAACAAATTACACAAGCAAAGCTTATGTAGAGTGATATTCGGTTTAGTTCGGCTCGTGTTAATGAATTATCTTGCGTAAAACGAAAAAAAAATCATTCCAATAAATTCACACAAACACTTCAAAATACATTCTTCAACTTTGTAGTATGAACTTAAGATCAAATAATTCTCGCAATGCTCATAAAATTAATCCTTATTTCCAAGTCTACGTAACATGGTGGCCTATTTCCAAATGGTGGGCTGTGAAGGTGTGCAAAGAACTCCAATCTGTTGATTGTTCAATATGGAGAATTCAAAGTGTTTGCCACATCAATGACAAAGCGGTACTTAATATCAGCCTTGGCAACTCTTTCAAGGGCGGTGTTGACGTAATCCATCGGAATAACTTCGACGTCCGCTGTGATATTATGCTTTGCAGCAAAATCTATCATCTCTTGTGTCTCTTTCATTCCCCCAATTGCACTACCAGCAATAAGCTTCCTCCCTATCAGAGATTCATCAGATAATTTTTTTCTTAGATATATATCGATATGGAGTTTGGATTAATTAGAAGAAAAAATTGTTAGCAAAACTAGCTTGGGGGAAAATAAAATGAACTTACCCAACATTAAGGGGAAAACTGGAAGTTCAGGAGGTTGTACTGGAGCACCCACCAGAATTAGTTTTCCATTGGTCTTCAACATCTCAGTCAAGGACAAGAGAGGGTGAGGGGCCGAAACTGTATCGATGATACCGTCCATTGTACCCATGGCAGCCTAATTTCATGTAATTACATGTATGTAATAAACACAAGTTTCGTACGACACATATATAAAGGACAAAACAAATATCTTGCTATGCAGTTTAACATGGTACGTTGTTGGACTTTAATTAAACACTGTTAATGAAAGTTTCCAGTTTTACAACCGGCTTAGTTGGTTTTGCCATCAAATCTCCAATTGACCAAAACAAAATGTGAGTTCTGGTTACACGAAAAAAGTCAAATGTGTACCTGCAATTGCTCCTGGTCATGACTAATCAGAAATTCATCAACACCAAGTTGCTCCATTGCTTCCTTCTTCTTATTCGGAGAAGTACTTATTACAGTCACTTTTGCTCCAACAGCTTTTGCAAACTTCACGGCCATATGACCAAGGCCACCAAGCCCTACTACCCCCAAGTGCTTACCAGCCTCCATGAGTCCAAAGTATCTCATCGGGCTGTATACTGTGATCCCGGCACAGAGCATGGGAGCAGTACCTTGCAACGACAAGTTATCTGGGATTCGGACGGCAAAGTGTTGATCGACTACTAGTTTGTCAGAGTATCCACCAAAGGTTCTCGATCCGTCTTCATGGTGTTTGTTGTAGGTCCATACAATTTTAGGGCAGTAATTTTCCAAGTCCTGTATGCAGTTATCGCATGAGCGACATGAACCCACCATGCACCCAACTCCAGCTATGTCTCCTACTTGGAATCTTGTGACATTGCTACCAACCTTTGTCACTTGCCCTACAATTTCATGCCTACAAAAAGTATGATAAAAATGCATATATTAACTAGCAGTGGCAGATCCTGGAAATATTATTTGGGGATCAGTAAGAATAGCGCTCGCAGCGCACAAAATTTATTGGACAGAATAACATGCAAATTAGCATTTCATCGAGTCTTGATAGGCCTGAGGCCATTACTGCACATTTGTCGACAGATGCCAACGACTTCCAAGCGAGCTTGTCGACTACTATCAATAGCTTTTGAATGAGCATGCCAATAAAGATCAATTTATGCCAAGTGAGCCTATCGACAGATGTTATAGCAACACATCAAAAGGCATGAGGCTAGTAGCTATCCTGCTCAATGTCTATAGAGGCAATTCGTCGAGCAGTTGGAGGGCAGCTTTGGAGGGTAGCTTTCGAGAGCATCTCAGATTTTCAAAGGGCATATCAAATTTTCAAAGAAAAAACTAACAAAAAGTCCAAAAAACTATAGTTTTAATGAAAAATGACAAATAAAGGTATAGTGAATGGTACCAAGAAAAGGTAAAAATGTGGTTTTTCGTTAAATGTGAATAATACCGAGAGTGTTTCTTTAAAACTCTCAATTTTTAAAAAGCATCACCCAGCTCTTCTGTAAAGAATTTCTGATCTGAGGGTCAGTTGACCCACCTTGGTCCAACAAGATGGATCTGTTCCTGTTAACTAAAAAGTAACAAGTAATAAATTGATTTGAGATAATAAATTAAGTAATAGACGTACGTACCCTGGGACAATGGGATAGATAGTCAGTCCCATTTCATCCTTAGCTAAGTGAAGGTCTGAGTGGCAAATGCCACAATAGAGTATCTTCATGCTGATATCATTACTACCAGTAGTTCTGCAAGTAAAAATACACACACATACACAAACATGTTACTGATGAAACTTATATCTGATGCACCAATTAATGTTAAGGTAAGCCAAATATTTATGCTAGTACACATGGTAAAACTAACTCTAAGGTCGGCAATGATGAAAAAACTACGATATTATTTGATGAACAAATTTGATGATCAGTGTAGGGCCGACATGAATACCTCCTAATGAAGTGGAACGGAGAGAGAATTCCCGAGGAATCTCTAGCGGCCCATCCATAGGCTTTCACTGCTTGCTCTGCTGCAACTAATATTTCTTGAGACATTGTGTGTTTAAGATAGTGTATCTGTGTAAGAGAGCTAATTTCAAAGGTGATCAAGTGATCGAAAATTTTTGAAATCACCAAGAGTTTTCTGTTCAATTGCGTTGAGTTTGTGGGTTGTGGTGTCTTTATTCGGGGGTCTACATGCGTGTGTATATATATATATATACGCACATATTTATACACTATATGGTTGGTTGTGTTAACCTACGATGAATGCAAGAGTTAAGATATTCATATGAAATTGTCAGAGTTGGCAGTGACGTGTATTCAGGCTGGCGGACATTTTTTTTATTTCTCACTACTCAACCGAAACCATAAGCTGACAGAGAGAAAGTGGAGGAGAGACGAAGAAAACAAGTATATGTTATTTTTTGCCCTGCTTTTGGTTGTATACTAGGTACCAGAAATTTGAGGTGGGTGAAAGAATACAATGAATGGGGAAACATTTAATATATATATACATATGGAAAGGGATCATCTCGGGATCTTTTCCATCAAATCCACCAAATCTAATTATCTGCGCTATTAAAATTTGATCCAACAACTACAATAAGGGGGTCTCTTTAAAAGTTATAAACACTTCAACCGTTTGATCAAATTTCAATAGTCCGGATGACTTCAACCGTTCCGATATATATATATATATATATATATATATATATATATATATGTTGCAGTCATATTTAAAATAGGAATGTGATTGTGTAAATCCAAGGAAATCTGGGAATGTATCTTATATTCCTATTAGGATTAGATTACCTATTAAATGTTGTAATCCTAAAGGGAAATGTTTTACCCTTCCTACTACTATAAATAAAGGCACAATGGGGTGGAATAACACACACCTCACAATTACACATCTCTCTCTTTCTCTCTATCCATGCCGCACCCCTCTCTCTCTATGGCCTCCATAATTGTTCAGTAAATTATGCCTACAACACGTTATCAGTACGCTCTTGACGTTGCGCTAACAAGAGAGTTTGATCTTCAATCTAGGGAGTATTACGTCTTTAATCATTCTTATCATGATTAATTTAATTATTTTATTGAATTGATCTACATGCTATTGATTCAATTTAATTTTTCTATGTTAAACGTGATACAACGAATTGGAGATGCAATTTCGGCTTTCGGAGAAGGATCTTCTACAAATTCAAAGGCTTATTTGTTTTCTGCTACTCAGGTACGCTTAAAATAAAGGAAGATATTTGAAACGGCCCATGAAGCATGAAAACATTCCCCATGATGCATGAACCCCCTACATTTATATTTACCTTCCGATATATATTGTATATGTTTCATATATTTGTCAATATATATATTTGTTTCATGCATTACGCAATAATTGCTATGTGAAATTTGTGAGTCAAAGAATCGAAAGAAATTAGAAGCATATTAGGGTTTTTCTAAACCTTAAAGGATTTGAAAAAAAAATGGGGGAATCAGGACATGGTGCGACACACCACCGCACCATCATTGTGCAAATAATCACTAGGCCTAGGCCTGGATTTTACCTCAGTAGGGCCTGTAGCCTGAGCCTATGCACATTGGCCTTGGCCCGCAGCCATCCAACCTGCCCAATTGTCTGGGCTGTCCTCTCATACACATGCTGCAACCTTTTTGGTTGCTGGGTTTTGTTGCTCTGGCTCGCATACATATAGCCAGCATATGCTGGGCTTGTCCCTGCGCCACCCATACCCAAGCCCGTGACCTGCAGTCACTATGGGGCTGCTTTCACGCAGCCAGCCTTCGCTGGGATCCCCGTGACAACCCACAGGCCAGCATGAGCTGGACCTACCCGTGAACTCCCCACAGCCCGAAACTGACACCCAGCTAAGGCTGGGGTTTCGTTCCCTCCCTGGTGGCCTGCAGCCATACCCCGAGGCCCAAAACTTTTGGGCCTTGCCGTTTTTACTCAAGGCACCCCCGTGCCTTCCTTTTTTTTTTCACGGCACCCATGCCTAAATTATTTTGGGGCATTTTTCAACCCACAAGCTATTATTCTAGCATTCTAAAATAATTTAACCTGTATGTTAATATTATTTAGCTTCTACAATCGACCCTGTATGGCCCGATTTATTGAATTAATTAAAAGTGACCTGCAGTCCATTAATCTGATAATGAATCCAAAATTATTGACCTGAAAATCACTTTTGGACATTAACGATTCAATAATTTATTTCTCTTCTTTGAACCGTCATATACTTTCGTAGTAACGAAGCTCTCACACTTGAGTTCCCGAAGACAACTCAAATCCACTACACTAAGTTACTATATTGCATTATGAGTTTCTTGCAGGAACCTCTCTTTTATGAACTAAATGTTCATAAACTAAATCGAACCTGTAGTTTCGAATTTAGTGCCTTTGAAACCAGAAGTTTTCATAAAACAATACACCCATGAAAACCCGACATTTTTCATGAAAATCATGTCTTAGAGCTCAAATGTTCTAACTTTGATGCTTATGGATGATTCATTCCATAGCACCAATCACAATCTTGTTCCCTCAAATTCAGTGAATTGTCGAACCGTCACAAGTTAGATTTTCCTGATTTGGACGTTTCTAATAGAAACCACTTTATGTGGGGTACAAGATGTGAATCTCCACATGACTATTAAGAAGCTGAGAAATCATTGAAGCCAACAATGGCATGGAAGAGCTGAATAAGCCTTTGCCATGATTTTCATTCGAAGACTTATGCTCAAAGCATTACAAATGGAAGTACCTCCCGAAGGAGGATTCCATGACTCTTTGGCTCGCTTCTACGGACCGTCTAATCATGAAAGATATTGCCCAAAGCAAACCATGATTACGTCCATGAATGAGTACAATTCTGAAGTTTATAAATCCAATCGAATTTTGACTAGAGAATACTTTTCTCGTCCTTCCTTGTTTCTAACTCGCCCCTGAAGCAGTAGTGTAGATAACGGAAGTTTATCAAATTCTCGGATCTGATTACTACCACAAACGTGAGAGAAAGGTATGGACCCAGTTTGGTCAAAGCTTACCAAATGGTGATGCACTGCTTCGGTAAGGATACACTGAATGGCATACTCTCTCACAATCCAATTTTGAGTTTGTTTTGACAAACATATGGTAGAATCAGGGCCTGCCAAGGTGTGGCATCATGCCCGACGCGTGATCCTTGGCACCCAAGACCTAAAACTTCAAGAATACGGGATAATATTCCCAAACCTTAACTTTGCAGAATCTACTCCCGTCTTAATGGAATAGACCATTGGTTATGCACCTGTTCGTGCCCCTACTAATGTTGTTGATGAGTACCATTCTAGTAGTCAATATGTGAGATTGATTTTGCTCCACCGAATATCGTTGGAATAGCAAAATTGTGACATGAATGGCCTTGTTGGCCGAATCCACCAAAGTAACTTTGGTTTACTTTGTGCACATTTTTCCATGTTCTTGGATTCAAGTTTGGTGTATGTTTTACTTATGGATAATCTTATTGATATTGTCCTCGAATATGAGTTAATTGAATCATGTTTCTTGAATACATGTGACCAATTCAATTGACCACGTGATTAGGTGGGAATGTGGGAAAGTTAGTTGTTTGGATGAATGCGTACTATGCACACTAACTTTACACCTAAATCACATCTCTAACAACGACTTCAAGTATATCCAACCTGATTATGAGCATTTGTCCGCTCCTCGTTGTATGAATGGTACTGCATCACCATTTAAGGGACCTTAAATTTTCCCTGACGTTGAGTTTTTAAGGATATTCGAGATGACAATGATCATAAATGAAACCACTGAAGAAAATAGAGTGAAATATCTTTGCACCACCTCCAAAAAAAAAAAAAAAAAAAAAAAAACTGAGCCTGAAGCTTTCATTTGGAGCCAATGGGTTGTCTCCCAACTGGGAATACACCATATGTGGCCGACCTAAAGCTGGGTGATTGTGCAGTTTACTTGTTTTGGCATGACCTTTTGGGACACTTAGGTCAAACAATGATGCTACAACGCATCTCCTTACCCGAAGTAAGGATCTTGTGCCTACAAGCACACTTTGCCAAGCATGCTCATTAGGGAAATTGATTTTCTAAATCATTCCTAGCAAAGATATGAAACAACTCCATTTTTGCAGTGGATTCAAGGGAATATATGTGGACTAATCCAACCAAAACGCGGACCATATAAATACTTATGGTTTTGGTTGATGAATCGACAAACTGGTCACATGTTTGTCCACACACATTGCTGCTAAATCTCCTAGCCGATTATGGGTTAACCACCCTATTTATCCCTTAAGGTCCTGGAGACTGGATAATGCCGGAGTGTTTACATCGACGGTTTTCGATAAAGTATTGCATGTATTTTGGGTTTCTAATTGAACATCGAATTCCCATGTGCACCCCAAATAGCCTCGCCTAGTGATCATAAAGCACAATTTAAATGATCACCCGAATTTTGGTAAACGTACCAAGTTTTCAGTTTCTGCCTAGGGCTATGCAATCCTTGTACGCAGTTATGTTGGTCCGCCTTGATGCCCATTGCCACCTAACCTATATGACGTTACAGTTGGTTACTCGGTACAAACCTGACGATTTTCGTATTTACGTGTTTGGGTATGCATTCCATGTGCCAAGTTGCGCCGCCGTAACATACCACCTTGGGTCCTCAAAGAAGGATGGGAATCTTTTGTCGATCATGATTCTCCTTCACACTAGCTCTATTCGAGCTCTTGCACGCGATCTCTTTACCACTCATTTGCGGGTTGTCACTTTAATGAGATCGTCTTCCCGCCATTAGGGGGAGATAAGAACGTCAACGTTCCTGTAGAACGGCGCGAATTTGTGTGGACGTTGCCCACTATGTCTCATCTCGATCCCCATACCGCATAAGTGTGATAAGCAAGTGCGATGAATTTTAGATTTCAGAATGTTGCTCCAGACGCATTCATTTGATCTAGCTAAAGTGACGAGATCATATACCAGCTGCAAACATGCCTGCAAGGATAGACTTACTTAACGGATGTCGAGTCAACATCCCTGGAGGGTGTGCCACCCCTGTTGGACGGTTTGGATGCTCCTGTTGGACAGTCCGGCACACTGGCGGATAGCCAATCAATCTATCTTGGCCTGGAGCACGATAGATCATTCAGTTCATAGGATTCACTTCCCTAGAAGAGGAAGACACGGCACAATAATGAATCTAAACTCGATCGCTGTCTCAAATCATTTCCATCTCATAAGATTAATCAAGATTACTCCCGAGACTTGAAGTTCTTGGTCCAGTATACTAGTTTGGA